TAACCCATGATGTAGGGGAAATGTCTCTAATATTGGCCTATGGATCTAAGATTGGGCCCATCGCTAAAAATCTGCTATTTATCAATTTTATCTAGATGAACGCGTTATTGGGACGTTACTTATGGATATTTTTGGCTGCTATTGAAAATTTAGTCGATTGCTGAATTTATGTACACAGTTCGAAAAAGTAGTGTAAATTTCTGTTCAGTATGATGCACATAAATGGAGCGTCACATATCATATAAGTTTACATTATATATCATGTAAAGTTCTGAGACATTTCATGCAATGTAGCAAATATTTATTGTATACAAAAGCCCATTGTTGTAAACAAGATTGTCTACAAGTTGCTCGAATGTTTACATCACTATTAAAATTCAGAATTTTTATCTGTGTATGGGCCCAAATTAGGGACACTTAGGCCGACATTACCTGCATTTCCCCTATATAGATGATTGACCAGTTTTCTTTAGATAAAAGTCGTTTCTAGGGGGCTGTTCATAAACTACGTAGACCGTTTTTGAGAGGTTTTAGACCCCCACGTAGACAATCGTCCATACACATTTTTGAATTTTTTTATGAACCGTGGACAATCGCCTCATTAAATGTCTACGTGGTTTATAAACAGCTTGACTTGAACAAAGTAGAATTTTGAGTTGTCTCTTGTTAAAGAAACTTGTCGGACAGGTAGCTCGCTATCAGCACCATAAGTTCATTGACCTAGCAGTCTTCTGGACTTTTGGTACAAGTACGCTATATGGGGCATCATAGAAGCAGGTAGCAGGTTCGATTGCTGCTTTGATCCAGATTTTTACAAACATCAAAACTGGTATACCTAGGTTGCAATTAACACATGTGGAAGAGCAAAAAGAACCCTAATTGTAAGCGTGTAGGCATAAGTTCCAGTTGAGCCGTAATAGCAGAAGATGAAGAAGCCCCTGATGTTCATAAAACCTGTCCTCGAGCTTCACTGTACTTTTTACCGAGGTGTTTTCCCGAAGTACACATGTTGACTTGTAGAAGAGATTAACCAAAACTTGCTATTGAAGACATCTGAGTCTATCACCAAAATCTTTCGGCATCCTCATTTTCCATGTTCATTGTTCTTCTTCATTGCCATGGCTATTACGTTCCAACCCCAGTTGTTAATTGAGTGATTTCCAAGTCATTTTTGCTTTCTCATTTTTGTTTACCCTAGCAGCACACTTGTATGTACCTTATTTCAGTCACAATCAAGTTGTAGCAGCTTATTATGATGGTCGTGTGTTGTTTGGGTTGAGAACATGTTGTTCTTTCGAGATGAAGCTCACCTCAGACCTCTATAAAAATTACACGTGTGCAATATAGATTAAAGAATTTCTATTAGTAATTTGGTATCATGGTTGAGAAAGTTACAGATGTTTATGTGTGTGCACTTTTTTCTAGGCTGATCTTTAATTAAAAAAAAAACTACTGTGAAGGCTCTATATTTGTTCAAAAAATCAACATGCGATGAATTTCTTTGAAGTGTTGCGTGCCACTATTTTAAATATTGTTGGAAAAAGATGACTTTGATATCGTACATCGTGTGCCTAATAATGACGCACTAATTTGGCTATATTCGAAGACATCCAATCAATATGTAGTCTTCGCTATATTCCTAATTTGACGCACTTGATGGATTTTTGAAGATTTCGTTAAATACGTAGCGAGTACATAACATCATAATATTTAATTAATGACTTTCCCCTCTCCGGAACATAGATTTACCAACATAGATTTATCAACTAAGAATAGTCATGTTACACTTACATTCTGGTTTTTCGCGAATTTGTCAGAAAGTTTGCATTGTCTATGAAAGAACTATTTCATCAATTCAGTTATTCTATTGATTCTTTAGTAATGTGTTGTTATGAATGCTGAATCAGTACACATTTCGAGATTTCGAGGTGGGGACATAGGGTCATTGTCGATTTAGGTTCCTTTCGACCTTTCAGTGAATGAGATAGCTGTCCGAATAAATAAAACAACTTTTAGGAATAGGTTCCCATTTGATGCAAATATCATATCTAATTGAACCTTGCAAAAAAATGACAAAATTGCAATAATAGTACTGGAACATCGTTGAAGCTTATGTTCCTCCAGTTAAAGACGATTTTACTATTAAAAATTGATTTTTAACACGAAAACCGATACAATGAGATTATCCAACTTCTTGGCTTCTACGTTAAGACAGACGAATTTTGACGCATTTGACAGATGCAATTATTTTTTTCGCTCATATATTGGCCTGAAAAGTCTATCCACACATAGTTTTTCATGTAAAATGTAATGGTTGAGTGTTAATAAAACACTAGTGTTTGAACATTAGGAGCTGTGCGCAGGCATAGTACAAAAGTGCGTCAAGTTTGGACCTTCTACATATATGGTATCTACACGGTAGTCGAAAATCGCTCGATCAACAACGGCGTTTTTGAACATTATTGTAATTTATTTCCGAAGTGTCGATTTTAAGTGAAAATTCACCACCACTGATATTAGCTTCCACCACATAAATTTCAATCACCGAAGGCACAATAACCCTAGACCCTACATATCGAACCAATATCAAACACATAACCATGACCAATGGCTTTATTTCCTCTCTGAAGGAAGACGTAATCAGAGACCTTTCGACTCAGAAAACTCCAACGACCTCCACTGGGATTGATGCTGGAAGAACATCAGTTACTTGTACTTGAGCAGCTCGAACTGACACGTTATGTTTGCGTTTGACAAGGGGTATTTCAGAAAAGAAGAAGAATCAACCGTTTCTACTTTCAAAGGAAAGTTTCCAAAGTATGCAGACGCAAAAAAAAAAAAATAATTAAAAAAATGAAAAAATGAAATTCTAAGGAAAGTTTCAGGAAAATTCGGAAGCAAATTCCTAGAGATTTGTGAGGAGCGTTTTGAATTAAAAAATGTGAAGAATTACAAAGGAATTTTATTATTTAAATATGTAGTTGCAAAGGAATTTTAATGTGGATTTTAAGGTAATTCTAAGTAGAATTTCTAGGGAATTGAGAATAATTAGGGAATTTACTGGTAAGTTTAATTAGGGAATTTACTGGTAAGTTTAAGGGGAATTTCATGATAATTTTGAATATGATATATTGATTCCTTTTTGGCATGGTTTGGTTTCTCCTCGCAATGTTGAAGAACAGAACATATAAAACATAAACCTTAAATTTATGATCAAAATTGGATTACATTTATGTGATGTTTAGACTAGAGAAATACAAGAATAATGTATCACAATTATTCTGGTATCATATAAAACTGATTGTCATTACCAAATCAGATTAATTCTAAAAAAAATAAATTGATTAATTTAATAATACACTAATTGGAAAAGTAACACATAAGTTCATAAAGTTGAAATCTGCATTGCTCAGAAATTCTCGAGAGCGCTCTCAAGAGTACCTTCAGTGAAAACACAGAGTGTGGCTCTACGGTGCGGAAATTTTTATTTTTGATAGGGAGATTAATAGCACTAAACTATCTATTTTAAGATGAGGTACCTGAACATTTAATTGGATTTAAATATAGCATCCTATATAAGAAAAATAATAAAAGTCCCACAAGTGCGATCCATCCCTGAGTGAGGTAGGGGAAATGGCTCTAATGTTGACCTATGGATCTAAGATTGAGCCCACCGCTAAACATCTGCTATTTATCAATTGTATCTAGATGATCGCGTCATTGGGACGGTACTAATGGATATTTGTGGTGCTATTGAAAATTTAGTCGATTGCTGAATTTATGTATGGGCCCAAATTAGGGACACTTAGGCCGACATTACATACATTTCCCCTATATGATTTTAACTGAATTGTGAATTTTAAAAGTTGAATCTTCATGTTAGGAAGGATGAATGTCGTTTTATTTCGATAATTTAGAATATGAATTGGGGGATTTGAGAATTATATTTATGTCACACCTTTTTTTTTATTTTGATTGAATGGAACAACAAAAATAATATCGTCGTATCTCGGACACAAACTCCGTTCATGACAAATCACAAATTAGAAGATACGACATCTAAGTTTAATCTCTCACTTTTCTCTGCGCATTAAGTCCATTAAGTCCGATAGTGTTCGGTTAACTAACACCCGAAGAAATATCATGATGTACGACCCCCCCCCCCCCCCCTGACTGTTTTTAGGAAGATGCAAAGCATTGCTTATTTAAAATATAGAACTTATGCATAGTTTGTTACATCATCGGGCTTGTTAAACCATTCCATTGAAAAGCGACAAATCAAATCACAATTGAAACTCTTTTCGCCTTCGCTATGAGTCACGTTTCCGACTAACAGCGTTGTTGGTTAATAGTGTTTTCCGTATTTCTTAGTCATGTGGGTATGTATGTTATGCTCGTCTGGCTATGATGTGGCTGGAATTGTTCCGCTTCCATTTTTTCTGTTTTCGATGGACTCTTATCAACTCAACACAGTCGATGATGGCGGCAGACGACAATGACACTTGGCACATACTAGGAACAGCAGAAACCGCATGGCAAATTGGTTGCCGGAAAGAAAGAGGAAAAGATTTACTCCCTGTCTGTGTACTACTCCATGTGAACTTATTAACATACATCCCAACAACTCGAAAAGTTGCAGCAACATGTTTGTGACTGAAATAAGTAGTATAGAAGTTTCTGCAGTCAATTTGCGACAATCGTGCTGCTAGGGATATGATGCTGTACGGGGTTTCTGACAACCACATAAAAGAAAGGCATAAACGAAGAGGAAGGAAGAATCGTTTATACTATTAAACGGACGGCGTAGAGGAAGGGCCCTTCAGAAGAAGTGATTCATCAGCACATTTTTGGCTATATGCAAATTTTAAGCTTTAACACGCATTGCACGTGCAGACAGTGAGATTATCGATTTATTTGTCACTCGTGGGTGCTATTATATGATACAGAATGACTTACATTATAACGAATTACATAGCATTCCCCGTATCCTTCATTTCCAGAAATCAACACCGCCTTCGGAATAAAGTGCTTTCGGTGTACGGTGGCACCACCGAACCGGTACGCCAACAATACCAAAACCCAACTGTGTTCAAAATTTGATCACTCCGATTATTACACCGTCGACTGCCCGTGGTCAACGATGTGCTCGAAGCGTATCTTCAAGATACAATTGATGAACCGCGAACAGGAGACCATAAGCCGCGACTGTGCCCAACAGAAGAAAACCGAACAGGTAGATATATGGCGTGACACGCCACGCACAGAATAAAGGGCGCCAATTAATTAGTTAATGGTTCCTGACTTGTGGAGAAGAGGACATACACCGCACTATACCCATTAGGGTGGTTCAAAATATCAATTTTGCCCCACCCCGCTCAATAAATTCTAAATCAGGCCCTGATCATTCTTCCAAAATTTGGTCTCATTTGGTTGCGACCTCATACTGCACTGGCCCTTTGAAGTTTATATGGGAAAAGTACTTTTTATTCTCATTGTCCTAGTCTTTTTTCATATTGATTTTCTATCTGTTTGTATGATTGATTTTTATTAATTATTAATTGTATTCGAAATCGATAACTTTCTGTACTATCTCAACTTACTGACTGTTTTCAGGGCAACACTAGGGGTTTCATCCGGCAATTTCGCTACTTTTCGTATATTTATTTAAAAATCAAATCTAAAAACACTTAAACACCTAAATGTGAGTTAAAGTGAGTGGGATTGATAGATAGAGTAAGCATTTGGATCCGTAGTTGTAGCTGAGAAAATTTCCTATAAGTAAAAATAGCAAGTTTATCCATAAATCATTGAGGCGCAAATCCAGGATGAGGTGAACAAAAAGTTCACTTTACACATAGTAATTCCCATATGAACAAAATGAGTTTGGGAGAATGATCGGGACCAGATTTAGATTCGATTGGGTGGGGTGGAGCAAAATCGATATTTTGAACCACCCTAATACCCATATACCTTCAAACATTATGGGAGGGGTAATAAATTTTGCACTAAAGCTTAGAGTTTTTGTTTTATTCCAGGTCTATAAAAACGGCAACTGGACCAAAGAGCACCACATAGAGGAGCCGTACGAGGAAGGCTGCCAAACGATAGATGATTCCACGTACTGCTACTGTCGGGGGTCGATGTGCAATACGGCAACCAAGGTCGAAAAAAACAGTTATCATACTGACGCAATGGCAGTCATATTTGTGTTCAACGTGATGAAGTACATCAGGAATATAGACTACTGACACGATGGTTATGTTTCTATTTCACGTTTTGTGCTAATAATTGATAGATTAACTTAACTGCTTTTCTGACTGAAAATCGAGTCAATGACGAAAATGTTTTGTTGAACTTTTGTTTTATGTTCGAAATTCATGTGATATAATAAATAAGTAGGTATTTTTTGTGAGTGGTGCTGTCTTTTAAATCCGAAAGCAATAAACTTTGGGGAAAACTCATTGACGAAGAACTGGAGGGGATCTGGGGACAAAATTGTCATATAGTGTCATCGACACCTACACCGAATTTGCCAGCCCTTGCCATCCCACTACCCAAGCAAAGTCGTTTAACAAAATGAAAGCAAATCGATATTATAGTTTGCAGTTCCTATCATAATGAAAACTTATTTTGATTTCAATTGTTACGACGTTAGTCTGATATCATATTATGCAGTCAAGACTTTTTAAATGAAAGTAACTTAATTTGAATTTCTGCTGTTAACGTCTTGTTTAAAATTTAATTTAAGTACATCTGTTGTTGAACTAACGATTATTGTCTATTTGATTTGCTTAACATGTTTTTGGTCATTTGTAACTTGCCCGGTTGAGATTTGAGCTCAAGTCTTTCAGCGTGAGAAGCATATGGGTGCTAACCATTTGCCACAGGCAAATGTAAAACATTATGAATGCAAAATCAGAAATCAAATTGATTTCATTGAAAGCAAGATTAGTTTTCCGTTTGATTCAACAGTGTAAAAGGTTGCTCTCATTTTTGCTATGTTAACCGTTAAGTCAACCAAAATGAGATCAACTGGAATATTCAATATAAGTTACATCATAACAGCAAATTTTGATTTCAATTTGATCTCCAACTTTGCTCGGGTACGCACTCTACATAGAAGGTGTCGTTTTTCAGTAAATTTATAATTCGTATACAGGCAAAAAAAGCGCAAAACTGGCTAAGCCGGCCAAGGAAATAAAAATCAAAATTAAAAAAATTCTTCTAATTAAAGGAAATTAAAAAAAATCATTATCGATGAAGTAATGACATTGGGGTTGTTAGCGGAATGCTTAAATAAAACAGCAAAAATAGGTTATGACCCATATATTATTGCTTTTTGTGTTAAAAAATGTATCACAAAATTCCCCGCTGTTCACACATAAAATTAAAAAGATGAATCCGCATAAAAACAAACAGAGAAAAAACGGATAGTGCTTTCAAACGTAAAATCACAAGGAATTACCGTCCAATATGTTTGTTTTCTTCAATAAGTACACCCAACCGGTGGATGTAAGATTCGCTTACAATTATGTGGGATTCATCATCAGAGGATGTAAGTGGAGACCGCATGAACCGAGGATGCGATATACTTAGCTGCGGTCCGATGTAAGAAAATTGGAGACCGAAAAATGTGGAGTGTATTAGTGAGTGAAATTAATTATGTGGAAAAAATAGAAAAAAGGTTGCCGACTGGACACGAACCACGGACGTTGCGACTATTAGACCTGTGCTTTCTCCACTTCTCTTTCCATGCTTCTGAATATGGATAGCCTAAAAGCAAACATGAAGCGCTCATTTTCTCGCATGCTCGACTTCGTATGCTTTTTCTGCTGGAGAGATTCGAGATAAGTGTGTGCGTCGTTCTACAATGTTCTACAATGTGCGTCGTTCTACAAGCTTACTGGTATAGTCGAAAGCGTAGAAAGAACACGAAATGAAAAAGACAAAAAAACCATTACATCGCCTGTAAGGTCAACTTCTAACATTCGCTGCGATGTTCATGAACAGAGGATGATAGGAAACGGAACTAACATTCATTGTAATAGATTTTTGGTTTGCGTGTAAACTTTTTGAAAAGATAATTTTAAATAGAATGATGCTTTATATCAATACGAACTCAATTTTTGCAGATGAACAGTTTGGGTGTCGCCATGGGCTTTCGACTACTCATCAACTCTTAAGAGCTACCAATTCAATTCGTTCCAACAAATCTGAGGGCTACTCAACTGGAGTTGCTCTTCTAAACATAGAAAAAGCATTCGACAGTGTGGCATGAAGCTTTGATTGCTAAATTGAAAAAGTTTGATTTTCCACTCTATATTGTGAAATTAGTTCAAAATTATTTAACTGACAGAACTCTGCAGGTAGATTTTCAAAATTCAAAATCTGAATGACTACCTGTTAGAGCTGGAGTTCCTTAGGGTCGCATTCTTGGGCCTATATTGTATAACATTTTCACTTCGGACCTCCCTGATTTGCCACAAATCTTTGTTCACTGATGACACAAGCATTTCCGCTAAAGGAAGTAGTTTTCGTGTTATTTGCAGTAGACTGCAGAAAAGTTGAGATATTTTCACTTCTTATTTACAAAAATGGAAGATTTATCCCAACGCTTCCAAAACTCAACTTATAATATTCCCACATAAGCCAAGAGCTTCCTTTTTGAAACCTAGTAGTAGTCACGAAGTCACTATGAACGGAGTTCCGATTTCCTGGTCAAACCAAGTTGAATATCTTGGATTAGTACTAGACCAAAAATTAACTTTTAAAGAACACATTGAGGGCATTCAAGCCAAATGTAATAAATCTTGATAGAGCTGGAATTAGGGCCTAACAGCTTTTGTAAACAATGACTTCTCTTGATGATTTCTAGAAATTTAAGGCTGGCCCTCGCAAACCAACATCTTCATCGGGTTGCAAAGACTTCCCCTATCCGATGGTTAGGTTGGTCTGCGTGGACGTGCCTTGAATTCCTAGAAATCATCGATAGAAGTCATTATTTACTAAAGCTGTTACGCCCTAATTCCTGCTCTATCTAGGAATATTTAAAATGTTTGTATCGTCTTATAAACAGGAAATCCAAACTTTGCCTGACGAATAAACCGGCCATGCCAATATGGTCTAGTTGTTACACTACCAGGAAAAAAAGCACTGCAAAGGAAACAAAAACAAAGAACAAAGTTCTGAAGATGATTTTGAAGTTGTCTCCCTGATACAGTACTATCGAAGTACATAGAATTTCAAATGTTGAGACTTTAGAACAAACAAAAAAAAATCTGTTTAAAATACTTAATTTCCAAGGCAGGAACAATGTAAAAACACTTAGATATATATCATAACAATTAAGACTGGTAAGTTACTGTAGTAGCTGGAGCACCTAGGTTAAAATGAAATGTAATATATGCGAATCTGACGACGGAAGAGAAACTCCAGAAAAAAAATGCTAGAAGGTACGCCTGAAACGATATACATACACAACAACAGATCAGCCGACTGAGGCCGATACCATAGTGCGAGCGTTCAACGCTTGTAAGGAATAATGTCAATAATGGGAATTTCCATTGATGATATTATTCCTTAAGTTCGTTTCAACGCTTCGCTCGTCTCTTCGCTCACACTATGACATCTGACAGAAGAGAGAAGGGACTGTGATCCACGATCCAGACTCTTTAAATTGATGGTAATACATACAATATTGTCAATGGCGTTTGCGTCATGTTGCGATTAGAAATAGACAAGCCTACTCCGGAAACTGCGTTTCGATGATTATCTAAATAAACCTGTATCAGTGCCAAACTGGGATTGCGGAAAACTGCCGACAGAAAACTACAGATGCTGTCAGTCAGCTGAAAATTGGCTGCCTTCTGAACCATAGCAGCGATTTTATTCGGCGAAGGGGTTAGCTCTTCCAAAAATTCCAAGCAAGCTCCCATAAACTTCATCGCATCATCCGGGAGAATGTAAACTTTTCGGGAACGATTAAGCTCCCACCTGTTCCAAGCCTATGAACACTCTTAGTAACTGCTTCCAATGTGAGAAATTCACCCATATCGAGGATGCCATGCAACTCGTTGACCCAACGGTGGAGTAGAACAGCTTTACAATGACCGCACACAGCGTTGTCAGATTGTTTTCAAGCTTATCGGTATCATAGGTTTAAAACTCGGTATTTATCGGTATTTACTATTTTAATTAATTCTTTATTTTTGCCTTTTCCAAGGCGAAAATTTAAACATTTTACTAAGAAGTTAGGGATATGACTCTAAGATTTTCGAGGTTGAAAAATCCAGTCCTAACCAATAAAAAACGAAATATCCATTTTGAACACCCCTTTTCCAGGAAAGTCGGAATAAATTTCCGGGGAATGTTTGAATTAGCTTCTGGAGGAAACCGAAAAAACTTCTAGAGAAAGAAGCTCTACTGGAGGAATTTTAAGGAAAGTTCTAAAAAAAGTCGGAAAAATATCCGGGGAACTTCCTAGTAAAATCATGAGAAACTTCTAGGGAAAATTCAAAAAAACATTCGGAAAAAAGTGAATGACACATCCAGAGGAAGCCAGAAAGGTTTCGGAAATCGGAAGAAAATTCCAGGAGTGGCCATTTCCAGGGAAAGCTAGAAGAAGCTTGGAAAAACCTTCCAATAGAAGTCGGAAAAAACCTCCCGAAGAAGCTTATGGAGAAACGGAAGACGAAATAAACTTCTGGGAGAATTCGATGATACGTCCGGTAGAAGTTTAAAGGGATTTCCTGGAAAAGATGGAAGAAACTTTTTGGAAACGCTGGAAAAAACTTCTTGAGGTAGTTTTAAAGAAACTTCTGAAGAAATTCGAATGCTACTTCCGGCGAAAGCTAGAAGGTTTTCGGAATAGTCTAAATAAACTTCTAAGAGACGTTGTGATAAAAATTGCGGACGAAAGAGATTTTTGGGAGATGTCGAAAGAAATTTCCGGTTAAAATCGGGAATAGGAAAAACGTGGGAGGAGTTGAGTTTCCCTAAAATAACGTGACGTATTTAATACATGCTCGCTTATGCTTGATACTCTTTCGACTAGTGTTTCTATTTCCTCGCCGTGTTAGGCTGAATAAGCTGTTTTTTTTTGCTGAAGCAGCACATGTTTGCCTGAATAAGTCCTTATTCAGCTTACACAGTTAGTTGGGTTGCTTGTCACACATTTGTAACACGCTCTCCCCTTAGACCGTGTAACCAGTGGTGTGTCTATCTGCCTAAGATTGTTGAGATTGTCGCGAGTTTAGTGTTTCGATTTAAATGTTATGAATACCAGGAAATGATTCAAATATTAGTGCCAACACCGTCCACCACCCACTGGACAGCACGCAACCACTCCACGAAGTTCCGCTATTCACAGCCAGATGCCGCTGACAGCAGGATTGGGAGGCGATGTAAG